TATGCCGTTAACGCTGTACGGGTTAATCTCCACGACTAGGAGAAGTTGGGAGGGTGAAATTGCTCTGATATGGCAGTATGTGTACAGTAAAACTTGATAGCGTGGCATGTATGGGGCTCTGGCTTTGCTTAATTATCCCAAATTCCAACTTATCGAGGCACCCTCCCCCCTACAATAATACAGTACTGTAATAAAAAATTATCGGCCCATATAGGTATACATGTAATTACTAATTTTAAAAAAGTAACATTTAACAGCACTGCAGGTAAAGAATGAAGTGCTGGAGTAAGCAAGAGGTATGGTAGGTGAAGCAGAGGCATGGTAGGTGAAGCAGAGGAATGGTGGGTGACGCAGTAGAATGGTAGGTGACGCAGGTGATGGAGGGGAAACACTATATAAACAGTAAACAGTGCAGCATTTATATATACTAGTACTGTAATTTAGTCACTTATACAAAATAAAGAGTAAATTAAAAAAAAAACCTAGTTGTTTTCTCTACACACTGTACAGTTCAGGTCTGAGTATGTAAATAAACAAGTAATTTATATCATTAAGGATATAGTCCACCCTAAAGTGCATTTTTCTCAGATGAGAAGAGATGCCACGCCCCCTCCTCAAGAGTTATAACTGATTGGCTGTTGCAAATCTGTTAAATTTTGTCCTGAAGTAATGATGTATTTCTAAATGAGTTTATTTATAATCATTGGGATGACCGTTTCTGATGAGAAAGATATTTAACTAAATTATATAAAGATACATATATTCATTATTTCAAACAGGAGCACGTAGGAAGTTTATCAGAAATGTTGTTCATGTATTAACTGTTTAACTCTGGTAGCAAATTGACGCTTTCGGAGGGCGCATTTAACATATATTTATTTTTACCTACAATAAGGCATACTAAGACAAATTACGTAACAGTAAAACTACATTATACAAAAACTAACATTTTAAGAATTCAGAATCATTGAAATATGAAATTGTTCACAGTTTTATTTCCCGATCAAGCGGCCAAGTCTGTCACACTCATCCACCAATTTTCAGGGGCCTTGTAATATTTTAGTGATTATAAATAAACTGATTTAGAAATACAGTCAACCCTCGCTTCACGCGGTCCCACATTCTGCGTTTCCACGTTTACGCGGTACCCTGCCGAAACCGGAATGCTCACATTCCGTGGTGCGTGTACCCCTTTACGCGGAGAGCGGCTGGCGAGCCGCGCCATTTTTGGATCCAAACCTCCCGCCATGCGCCATGTTGTGTAAGCGGCGTGAGCAGGCTGCACACAAGGTCGCCCAGTCATCAAAACATTACCGAGTTCTTCACCCGCCACCCACCACAGCCGGCCCAAGTCAGTGATAGTGATAATTATAGTGAGGATATGGACTTATATGGACTTTGAGGGGTTTGACAAAGAGGTCCTGCAAGCCTCTGTGGTGGATAGTGATACAATTGATACAGGTGAGGGCCAATAATCTGCCCTCTGCCTCGGAACCAACCCCCCATCCCCGTGTGCCCAGCCATCTTTTCTACTAATGTAAGTGTTAAAAAACCTAATATTATTGATATTTCTCTTAATTATTAATTGTGTGTGCATACCATCATAAAGTTAAGATAAAATTTTTACTACAACATAGTTGTGTGTCGTCAAAAAGTGGAGTTTGGGGGTCGGCCCGGTCTCTATTTCAATTAATCCCATATGTTATGTTGTTCACTTTATGAGTTTCTCACTTTCCGCGGTACCCTGTGGGTTATATTAACCGCGCAAAGTGAGGGTTGACTGTACATCATTACTTCAGGATGAAATCGAACAGATTTCCAACAGCCAATCAGCTGTGACTTTTGAGGAGGGGGCGGGGCATCTTTACTCAGCTAAGAAAAATGCACTACAGTATAGTAAAACTGTCTTCTTTATTACAGAGCAAAAGAGTAAATATTTAAATAATCTAATGTAGCTTAGAAATAATGAAAATATAATATAAAACTATAAAATATGGAAAATGAAGAGCATAGGTGGGTGTGAGAGGTGAACATATGTGAAGGCCACTCAGTGAGCTGTACTGTGTGGCTGACTCACCTGCCTCCCTTCCTACTATGTGACGTCATGGCACACGCACATACGGTACACATCTCAGTCAGCTGGTTGGCTGCCTGACTGCACCGTAGCATCACTTATATGATAGTTTGAGTGTGGAAGGAGCTATTTTTTGTACATAAAATGTGTTTCAGGCATCCCCCGGGTTACGGAAACTCTGGTTACGGAAATTCGCCCTTACGGATTTTGTAAATTACGACCAACACATTCAGGATATGGACAAAAAATTCGTCCTTACGGATATTGGGTAAATTTTTAAGTTAATTAATTTTTTCAATACTATTAGAAAAAAATAAAAAAATTATAAAAATATTTTGTGTGGATTTCTTGGTGGTTGTTACAATACTGCTCCTCTACTTAAGAATGTTCAACTTACAAACTTTCAGAGATACTGTACAAACATCATCACTGAGGGGGTTACCTGCCAGAACAGGTATTTAATGTGAATGAGACTGGATTATTTTGAAGAAAATTCCAGATAGAACAAACATTACCTAAGAGAAGAGTGAGCCAGGTTTTAAGGCTGTAAGAAAGAGTACAGCTGTGCTAAATATCCATAATCTTTTCATTATTTACAATATGTTTGGTATCTACAAGAGTAAAGTTGGACTTACAAACAAGCACCAGGAACGTAACTCGTTCGTAAGTAGAGGAGCACCTGTATAGGGCGAGGCAGGAGCCGGTAGTGCCCCTCCATCTCCCTCCCATTAACTCCGATTGCACCACCTACCTCACCACCTCACCTAACGCAGCACTCAACATTTGTGTTAAGTTAAATTCAAGTGTTTTATACATTTATCATATTGTATCATAAAATAATCAATGTACAGTGAGTTCTGCTATAACGCGTGTTTTGATAACGGGAATTTGCTCTAACGCGATTTATGAATTAGGAACGATATTTGTATAACGCGAACGCTTGTTTGCTATAACGCGATTTTTGCTTACTGTTTCTCCAATTTTGTGGTATTAATTGTGAATATGGTAAAGAAGAATATCTCCAAGAAGCGTTCTGGTGATAGAATTCCCGGTGATGATCGTAAAAGAAAGGATATAACACTTGAAGAGAAGCTCGATGTTATCAACCTCAAAATCACCCTTCTCCCCCATCAAGTTACATTCATATTTTTTCAAGGTAAAGTGTTACATTTACTGTATGATTTCATTATTAGGTATGAATGTAACATTTATTTAGACTGTGCTATCCTTTGTGTTAGGCTAACTACTAAATTTTTTCGATTTCGAGTAATCTGCACCTAACCCTATTTTCTCCATAAGCCCTGTTATTTCTATTACGCGATTTTCTATAACACGATATTTTACAAGAACACAATTATCGCGTTATAGCAGAACTACCTGTATGTGTAAAAAAAAATATCTTCATTCATAAATGTGCTTGTATTGCGTCTTTTTGCCGAAAATATTTCCTTGGGAACGCATCTCCAATTATATAATGAGAGTCAATGGGAAAATTGAATTCGCATTCCGGAATTTCACGTTACGGACAAATTTTCAAGGACACACCTTCCATAGCCCGGGGATGCCTGTATTGTATTTTATGAAATGTTATGTATCAGTTTTATTGTTTACTGCAGCAATTTTTGTTTAAAAAGTGGCTATAGAGCTATAGATGTCAGACACGCAAAGAAATGACTTCAGTTGCTTTAGGATTTAAGGACTAAATTAGAATTTTTACCAAAAGGGACAAAGTTGGGATACCTGGAAGATTCAGAGTTGGAATTCAGATTAAATGATTTGCACTGTAAATTAAATAAAATCTACGACATTGGATTTACCGCAATAGTAGAGACATTCTGCATACAGTGGCTGGCCTGACATAATGAGGAAGGTTCTATCCAACCAGGAGCGAACTCGTAACAATGGTTTTAAATTAGACAAATTTAGATTTAGGCGTGAAATAGGTAAACACTGGTTTGGAAACAGAGTAGTGGATGAATGGAACAAGTTACCAAATATCATCATTAACTCGAATACACTGAATTGCTTCAAACATAGGTTGGATGCTCATATGAGCAATAGGGGTTGGGTGTAAACGGGACTGCCCAGTATGGGCCAATAGGCCCGCTGCAGTTTCCTCCATTCTTATGTTCTTATGTTGTTAGGTGTTACTGGGTTAGTATGGCAAGAGCCAAATTTTACCAGGGAGTGCTGAGTATTAATTCTGGTGCCCTAGATACTCTGTGGTGCAATGTATGGTACTTATACTTAAAATATCGAGGTGCTACAGCACCCTCCCTTCCCATGTCCACGTACTGGATGGAGTGAGCCAGCACACACCCGACCACAACAATAACAAACACCAGACTGGCCAAGCATGGAGTGCAACACAGCAAGTGTTACCCATGTGCCCAAATGTGATGATTTTCCCATATAATTTTATATAACTCGGCATTTCCAGAGTTATTTTACAGTAAATTATGAGACCGTATATGTGCCGAATTATACGAAATTCCAAGATATGAAATGCCGAGTTATCAAGAGTTTACTGTAGTCTTATTCCATGAAACTTTGATATCCCACTGGGACCAGTCGTATTTTTTCTTTTACCCTTGTGTTGGGGTGAGTACAGTATTGAGCTTATTGTATTTATCAGTTTTCTCATCTTTTTCTCTGAGTGGCCAGCCTGGTCTTTTTACTTGTTTGGTAACAGACTGATCACCATATGGTGGGCAGTGGGCTGCCAGCTGCATGATGGGAGTATGCATTCACACATGCCCTCTCCCTCACCCACCCTCTGATAGCATGTTTGTCGACAATATTGGCCCTCTGAGCGAAGGGTTTAATAAGATCTCCTTCGCAACCATCCCTACAAAGTAACTTCATGAGTCAGATATATGAGAGAACAAAACAAAATATAAGGCTAACCACATAAACAACGCCATACCAGCAAAGTTTCAATCAGGTCTTTACGGGGCCGTAGTTTCAGCAGCGGCACAGACAAACGGACAGAGCACAATCCTCCATGACCCTCATAACTGCACACTCCAGCACACCTGTAATAACACCACAATCTGCCTTAAGCTCAACAATTTGGGGCAAACTCTTGTCACACAAAAAGACTGTAGATTCAACCTATACAACTGCAAGTACTCAAACGGTACCTGCTGTACTAGAATGTGTAAATATTAACTTTAAACAATCTAATTTAAAACCATTTAACATGGTTTGTTTTAAGTTATGGTTCGTGTTTTATAAATTAGTAAAGTTCTGTGCAAGCTGAACCATATGTCTTCACTAATTATGTACACTCAGTAAAAAAAACTCATTACAAATCTTGTGCAAAACAAAATGAAACCATGAACAAAGGTTTTTGATAAGGCCCATGAGGCATACTGTTATTCACCAATCATAATGCAACAAACTAATTTTATATTTTGAATGAATTAACTAAATTAGGCCTACCATAATAGGTAGGAAATGTCTCACAATCAGGCCTACCAACCCTAGCGAGACAACAGGATTGTTCAGTTCCAAATTCATTGGCCCCCCTCCTGAAAGATACTTTTTTCCAAAGTGTACATACAATTCACTAATATTTTCATTTGATTAACCCTTAAGCCCCGGGTTAGGGTGCTGCTGGCAGTACCCCACCCCCCTCGCGGGGTAAAATCGAGAGAGAGAAAAAAAGGGGGGGCGGGGGGAACTAGGTGGACGTTCTGGAACGTCACCCGGGGCCTAAGGGTTAAATATTTTATCTCGTTAAACTAAAACAATCAAACCATGTGAACAGGAAAGAAAATCTGAATTACCTTAAGTTATCTCTATCTTGTAACTACACAAAGACACACAGACACATTCTGTGTACTATCATTGCTGTACAACAAGAAGTTCATAAGAATTAAAAATTACATAGGGACTGGTAACTGATTATAACTAATTTTATACTCTCATATTATGAACACTCACAAGGTCATTCTTGGACTCCACTTGACCTCCACCCCTGTCAATCGTCCCCAGAAGAACTGGTCATTAAAGGTGAGAAAGAGCGTATGAATATCAGGGTTTGGGTCAATCATCTCCCATGATGGATCAATGAGAGACACTGACAACTTCACTTGAGGCGACTCATCCAGCAGTTTTCCTCGATACTTCCACTTGTTTGGGATGGAGCCTGAGTCAAGGAGAACATCAGCATTTATTAACAATGACACATTTATAAATCTTAAGGGAACCACTTTTATGCTACATACTGATGTTACAATTTTTAGAAGCTATTTATTATTGAACTCATAAGTGACCTACATATAGCACATTTTTCCTTCCAACATTACTGTACCCCAAGAAGAATAATAATAATTGTGTTCATAACATGTGATTATCCAGACACCATACAAAACTAGCTGAGAGAGAATTCTTTCATGACACTTATTTCTTGGTTGACCAGACTTGAAATGTTACAGTAAAGCACATAAGTAATCTCTCCGTTAGCCGGAACCCCCCGATCCCCAGAACTCTCCAATAGCCGAAATGGAAATCTGGCTTGGAAATTTTGGGGGAAAACCCTCTTCATTCCAGGTCTATGAATGAATTTCAGAAGATAAAAATCAGGTACATTTTCCAGAAAAATTCTGAGGTTCGGAGAAAACCTCTCTGTTCTGGACCTGAGAATAGATTTTCCAGGAGTTCCGAGATTGCGTGATTTGCATCGTGCTCCAACATGTCCCCACATGTCAGGCGCGTGGGTGGCCTAGCTGCTTGGATCACTTAGTTCATATTCTGCTGTCACTGTAGAAGGTTGTTCCCTCGCTAGTTACTGTTTTTGTGTACAATTTGTGTTGTGCAGTACAGTACAAGTACTGTACATTTCTGTACCAAGACACATCAGCAAAAAATAGTGTTTGGATGTAAAAAGTATTTACAGCTACGTATACTGTACAGTACATTCAATAAGTGGGAAACACTGGAACACCTAAGCTTTTATCTTTATTCAAGGCATCTTCAGACCCACTAATCCTCCACCCTGGCATTGCATCAGGTCAGTAATATGAGACCACCAATATCCCACCTTTCCACTGCAAATGAGAGAACAGTTTATATGCAATGGGTGACCTGACATTGCATCAGGTCAGGTCAGGCCAGTAACATGAGACTCACTGATCCCCTACTCCACCTCCATCACATGTGTTGAGAAGTAAAGAGAGATTATAGTTATGTTATGTATTACATTCAGGAGTGTGTATGCCTACTGTAGGCTCAAGACAACAGCATTTGCTGTTGAGTACATTACAGTACATTAGTAGTATACATTATTTTGTATATTTACAATACAGGAGGTTCCCAACTTATGAATGTCCGACTTACGAACGCCCTCCGATACGAATGGGGTTAATCTTGAAATTTACAGTATTTTATTTACCTGATGGCTTTTATTTTACTTTCATTTACTGTATTTTGTCATTCTATTTCTTCTTTTGTCTTAAGTTAAGGCTATGATATAGTGGGATTTTAAACATTATTCTGTAAGTACAGTATGCATATATCATGTGTTCCGACTTACATACGTCCTCAGGAACAGAACCCTTTCATAGCCCGAGGACTCCCTGTATACAGTACAGTACTGTATACGTACAGAAGTGTTTGCATAAATAAATACATCTCTTGTGTATGTCCGAGCGAGATGCGTAGTTTAAACTCTCTGGGAAAGCTATCCCCAGTGCAGTGGAAAATTCCACCGTCTTGGCTGTGACACAGCTTCATTCACGTCTTGCATGCCCGTATCATAGTTTTTTTTTAATATATTGTATTTATTTAACCAAACTTTTAGATAAACTATTCAGGATTACTTAGGCATAAAATTTGTTTCAAATTTAATTAGAACTAATTTTATTGACTCGGTATCAACATTTCTTACGTGTCAAAATATTTTTTTAAGGATCTATTATTGGAACAGTCTTGTAATGAATTTATTCAGGATCATTATGGTACCAAATTAATTACTCAAACACAATTATAACATGTTGCAAATAAAAGTTTATACACTTTTTTGCTAACCATAAATATATTTGTTCACAGCCTTGTGCCTAAAAAATACCTCCATTTGACAGACAGTATTGTGTAGATTTTTATTATTTTTTTAATAATTTATTGAACCAAACTTTTATATAAACTTTTCAGGATTATTTACAAAAAATAGTGTTTCTAACTTAATTAGAACTGATTTTTTACTCCAGTATCAACATTTCTTTATTTTTATTTTTCATAAAAGAATTGAATCCCCATTGTTATATTGTGTCAAAATATTTTCTTGGAGGATCTTTTATTGGGACAGTCTTGGGAAATGGCTGTAAAACAAATGTTGACGATGAAACAAGGAATTTTCTTCCTAAACAAGGTATTTTTCAAGTATACAGTACTGTACTATAGGGTATATATACATATAAGCTTAGGTAACATATTTTTGTACAGTCTCCTAAGCAACAAAGATCAGCTTTCCCAGGAGGTGTAAATATACATGAGCAAACATACTTTAAAGAGAATAACATATGCAGATATGCAGAAGCTTGAGTGAGCTGATGTGGGAATGGTGAGTTGGGTGTGTAATGTGACACTGAAAGATAGAAAATCCTGTTCAGAGCTGGTAAAGCAGCTGGGATTTACATGAGATTACACTCTAATAAGGTGATAGATTGCATACTTCAGTATTCATTAATACAGTGATTAAACATGGTGTTCCAGATATGGTTGAACAACAACAGGTATAGTAAAAGTTTCATGAATAAAGAGGAGAAAACATATACAGTATGGGAAATTGTTACACTATTCATGGATGATGAAGCAATATCAATGAAACCAAAAATTAATTTGGAATGTTTAGCAAAACTTTAGAATTATGTGAATTAATGATACTGTCCTTCACAACTAAGCATGATAATGTACTGTACCAGACCTAGAGATGGTGTAACTGCTTCTGAGTGGAGTAGTTCCTGTTTCTGTTTCTCAAGGCTGACCCGCAGCTCCTCCTCGAACTGGGCCTGCAGCTGTAGTGCAATCATAAGGTCAATCTCGCTCATATTGACTTGGTGTCACTTTCACGTTTTCACACAGATGCTGTCAGGTCAGAAGACTGTCTGTCACCAGGACTTCACACCTCCAAATTTTTCAACCTGTTGGAAGTATTGCATCGTTACTTTTCACAGTAAAAGAATGATGAAAGTGAAAAACCTTCCAAAGCAAAGCATAAATGGTCAGAATGCTACACAAGAGGCTTGTATTACTCTTGAAAGCTGACTTAATATTAAACACTTTATCATAGGCAAAGTCACACTTATCCCATTTGATAACTGTCAGCTTAATAAGTAAGATGATGAGACAGTCAGTAATATATTTGAATTGGGAAAAACTAATTTGAAGTGAAATGATTTCACTTCTGTGGCTGACTTTTAGTTAAACTGGGAACAGAAACAAAAATTCATCAAAATAAGGGGTTTGTTTCTTCCTTAACCTAACAATAGCTAGACACAGTTATTAAAAATACCAGATGGTTTTCCTTGATAAGGAACTGTACCATTAGGATAGTTTCCTGCTGATGACTGGCAAGACTGTGAACTCTACTGATAACAAGAGAAGGCAAACACAGTACACTAGATGAATTACAGTACAGTAGTACTACTTACAAATGTGCATGATGAAATGTTAGGTTTGCTTTAAAGTAGTCACTTTGCATCTTGGTGGGCATAAAATCATCTGTCTGCTATGTAAATAAGAGCTCTTTCAAGACCAGACTTGACCATCACTGGTGCATATTCAGATACATTCTGGAACCAGTAGATACCCAGTACTTGCCAACAGTACGTAACAGAGATGTGACCGACCACCCAAGTGGCTGGGAAGCCGATTAGTGGCGAAGAGGATAAAAAAAAAAAAAAAAAAAAAAAAAAAAAAGACTGTAAAGTAAAGGGTTGCTTAAGGATGGATTCATTGGTTTTTAATATAAAGGAGTCTTTTGGTAATTATTCGGTATTATTTTTAGTTTCCGTCATCTGGGGAATCTTAGGAATTTAGCCCCCGTTAGATTAGATATAGTTCCTGGGTTCTGTGGCTAAGTTAAGTTAGGTTACATTAGGTCTGGTCAGGTTAGGTTACATTCGATTTGGTTAGGTTGGATATATAAATACAGCGATGATAGAAACTCAAATTTTACCAATTATTCTGCAAACATCAGCATATGATTTAGGGATGAAAGACAAAAAAAATAGTTGCAGTTTTTCATGATGATTAAATGAACCTTGGAGGAGGTTGGACACAGACGACCTTGAGAAAGTTGTGTAGGATGGCGGCTCATATGCTAGCGTTTGTGGAATAATTGACTTATGGGGGGTGGAAGCAAGCTAACTAGTATTCTAAGTTGATTGGGATAGGTCAGCATGAAGTACAGTACTTCCAAAGCATCATATATAAACTACAGGTATACACATTATTTTACAAGCTTAGTATTCTATATGATTTACTACACTTTATATGACAGCACAGGAAATAACCATGTGATGGCACAGTTGGTTACCCGAACAGACAAGGTTTGCCAGAGCTTGTCAATATATAGTACATGCTGAATCAACGGAAACATTTATAGCGATTTTAATGAATAAACATATATCTATCTAATCAGTAAGCCTATTATTTTTGTTTCAGTCACCTGGGAAATCTTAGGAATTTAGGTTAGGTTAGATATGCTGTAGTTCCTGGGTTGGTTAGGTTACATTAAACTAGATCAAAATCATTTAAAACATGTCAAAAACAGTCGGTAAGACATAGCGATAACCGAAACAAAAATCTGGGTAAAATTTAATTTGTTGTCACTATACAAAATCTAAGTTAAAAATATGTTTTTCTGATGGTTTTTGATGTGTTATGAATGAATTTGACCTTCATTTGAGGAGCAAATCAATAGTTTCTGAGATTAGCCCCCTCCCATCTTAGAATCTAGAGATTTGCTACAAAAATCAATGTAAAAAGTGTTAAAAACACATCGAAAACCATCGGGAAAACAAAACCCTAACTTAACTGGGGAGCTCCACAGTCATTCGATGTTTTGCATGTGTACTGCCACGTATGAACATACATAATTTTTTTTTAAATATCTTGATTATACACAATTTGCGTCAGAAATGCCATTGAAGAAAAGAGTCTTAGAATTGTCATAACTACTGATTGCAACAATAAAATTCCAGAGGTTCATTTAGAGGCAACAAGTGAAATACAGTTAATACCAAAATGTATAATTAATAATTATTATTATTATTATTATTATTATTACGTATAATAATAATTATAATAATAATAATAAAGGACCAGAAAAAAAATCACTAGTGAGAAAAAATAATTGTATGTTGTGTTGTCAAAGTAAGAAAAACAATTGAGGGTAACATTGCAGTTTACAGCAGCCACAGAATTCCAGAAATTCACTGCACTCAATCGATAGAACTATTTTTTTTTTGGTGATCATTATCTAATACAGTATTACACTTCTGTTGCAAAATAATAATAAGGGAGTTATTTAATTTTAAAAATAATAAAATCACAGCACCTGTGGCTCAAATTGTGTGAGCTCTTATGTTTGCTTATCCTCCTGTGCATGTGCTGGGGGGGCGGCCGCCAATCAAATAGGAGGAGGCCAAAGCCAATCAAATCTAGGTGGAGGGACAGCAGCCAATCAAATCCAATAAAAATCTCAACATTTGATTCAACCAATTAGCGTTCAATATTCGCCATGGGTGCTAAGATGCGGGACATTTTTAATCAGTTGCAACATGGAGCCATAATGTGCTGGGTGTGATTTTGATTATTGAAAGTTTATTGTATTATTTAATTCTAAAAATAACGAAAATTAAGAGAACAGAGGAACCCACAACGAATTCTGATCCCTGACCCGGAGTAAGGAAAGAAATACTGTAACAGCTATTTATATTCTCGTGGACGTGGAGGCTGACCTCCAGCTAGGGAGTTAGGTGAGGTTTAGTTTGGTTATCTAGTATAAGTTAGCAAGCACAGAGTACTGGGAATTCAGAACACGCAATCGATAGAACTATCATGGGATAGGGGCTAAATTCAAAATGAGTGATTTCCGATAAAATCGAATGACAAAATTGAACCAATCGCATCAAAAACCATCAGAAAAACAAAATATTTTTCTTCTTTGGTTGCTGTAATCTGCAATTTTACCCAATTGAGACCCTGTAATTGTGTATAAATGAGGCAGAAAGTCAAATCAGCAACCTGGGACTTGGTCACAATTTTGTAATTCCATATGGCAGCAGGGTCTACCTTTAGACAATACAGTACATTATGCTTCCAATATCTTCCCAGGCGGTAGTACCTCCCTGTTTGGTAGTTGCCTACTACCTGGCATAAGCAACGCAAAAATCAACGGGGTTTAAAACAGACAGCGATAATATCCTTAGAATAAATAATTCAGAGTTTCGGTGAATTTATAGTCATACACCGGTCTTTCTTTCATTGTTATTAATATGTATTTCGTAAAGTTTAGACAATTCTAAGACTTTTTCTTCTATGATATTTCCACCGAAAATTAAGGATAACCGAGATATTAATTTTTCAATATTATTATATTTGTTCAGTCACAAGTGTCGCCAAGATTTGTTTACATATGGCGAAGAAGGTCTGAACCCCCTCAGTCAGTGCTCCTTAAGCATTTACAGTGCATGTGTGGGGGTGGTGTGGGAGTTTCTTATTATAAGCTATAGCAATAGGAGACTTATTATTGGGCAAGAGTTTTTTTTTCTTAGCCAATGAACAATGTGTGCGTGTGTCGGAAGCAGAGATTTGAATTTTCAGTACCAGATATGGCTGAGCAGGTGGAAAAGCTGTGCCACCATTGTGATAAAGATTATTTTATGTCACTTGCAGAGTTTCATCATAAAAATTGTGAGGCAATTTTTTTTGTAGAAAACACAGTGTATTACTGAACAATGTTCTTTGTCCAAGATGTGGGGGTATGAACAAAGGGGGGTCCAGTGGAGGCAGAGCCCCTCCCCCCTTGTTAGGTTTGGTTAGGTTAGGTGGTAATAATGCAGTTTACAGCAACCACAGAATTCACTAAACTCAATCGATAGAACTATTTTTTCTTTGACAATTTTCTTATACCCTGTATTACACTTCCGTCGCAAATTGATAAGGAAGTTATTAAATTTAAAAAAATAATAAACTCAGAGCACCTGTTGCCTCTATGCTGTTGCTCAAATTGTGTGTGTTCGTACGTTCGCTTAACCTTCCGCACATGTGCCGGGGGGAAGGGGAGGGCACCAATCAAATTGGGAGTGGCCGCAGCCACTCAGCGTAAGGTAAGAAACATTGTAACAGCTATTTATATAATTGTGTACGCTGAACACGTGATTCTGGGTTATTACCTAGCATATCCGTCCTCGGCTAAAGCCACCGGGGGTCCAGGGGCGAAGCCCCCGGTTAGATAAGGTTTAGTTTGGTTGTAGTATTGTATAATCCATAGATCACTCCCCTACCCAAAACCCCGAATTACCACGCTCTACCCTAATTTTGTTACAGGGAAGGGAAGGGAAGGGAAGGGAAGGGAAGGGGAGGGGAGGGGAGGGCTAAATCACAAATGAGTGATTTCTGATTTCCGACAAAATCAAAGGTCAGATTTGAACTAATCACATCAAAATCCACCAGAAAACTTTTTTTTTAAATTCCATGGTTGCTGTAATATGCATATTTACCAAATAAAATACCAACTAACCAACCAGGAAAACCAAACCTAACCTAACCATATGACCTTCGTTTTTGTAGGAGGTGGGGTGATATTCTGTGACTCTCAAAGTGCTTTGAAATCAATGAACAGCCCGTCAGGCTCTATGTCTAAAGTAGTATGTGATATTAAAAGAAATGTGATAACTGACAATGAGAACAACTCTCGTATCAAATTTGTGTGGATTCCGTCCCATGTTGGAATTAGGTATCATGACCGTGCTGATAGACTGGCCAATGAGGCATGTAAGAAAGAAAATGTTGACCGTGACCTTGGCCTGTCCAATGCTGTACTTAAAAACATTCAAGGCAGAATTATGAACTCTGATCTAGAAGAAATGAGAAATGCAGAGACCTGACAGTTGTAGCATTAGTAAATATGACAAATTTTGTGACGAGAGGTACCGGGATGGCCAGCATAAGGACAGAACCAGACAATGTGACATAGCCGTGGCCAGAATTAGGCTAGGATACAGACACGTCAGGCAAGTTAGTAATGCTGTACCCATACCGGAACACTCAGCATGTAAACTTTGTGATAAACCATTAAAGCATACACTTGAACACTATATTATTGAATGTGACACTGTCAAAGACTTCAGGCCACCTGGCTTATTGTATCATGAACTTTGTAATTACTACATTGAATCGGGGGTGCTTGAGGACATTCTTGCTTTTTATCCCAAATACACTAGCCCACACTGATTAATCTTCAAATTGAATATGACATCCAATGTATATGAACCACTGTCTTGCATGGCAGCGAACAGTGACATCACCCACATGACTCTGGCCTATATATACTGCTAATGAATATGATGTATTCCTTTGTGTATGAACCTCTGTCCTGCATGGCAGTGAGAACTGATACCACCCTCAGTGTCAAGACCTAACCGAATTACTCAGAAGAGGCAAACTGTACTCCAAGCTTTGTCAATAAATTTGTTAAACTAGAAACTAATTTCATCTTATATGGTAAGGCTTAAGGAAATGCAGAAGACGTACACTAACCTGTGAGGACACAGTCATAACCTGTACTGGACCTGATGACCAACACACGCGTCCCTTCCTCATCAACTCTTGTTCACCATTGTACACAAAAGGTAGCATCACTATAATCACCTTCAAATTACACCAACACACATTTTTAGTGAATGCATTTGTTATAATTATTAACGAGCTGTTTATTTATGACAAAATCGTATGAAGGTAAAATTCATAAACCAGCCCAACAATATCTTCCCCTCTTAAGACTGCTAGACATACTATTTGCCATTATATACTTGCTTGTTCTATTTATGTATAATTTGAATCCAAAGTTGATAATTATCTATGACGATTTTCATAGAATAAAAAATATATATGAAGCTATTGTCTGTTATATAATTGCCTTTGTAAGATTGTGCTTAACTAACCGTAGTGGCTCTTATACCTGCCGGACAACTCAGCTGATGCTCCACTGACCCAGTTTTTTTTTACGTAGAGTAAACAGAGATCTTGTTATTATCATGTATAAACAAAGCAAATCCAAGTAAATTCACCTAATAAAATTCATTAATTGTAATTAAAAATTGAATATTTCATAGACGTCTAATTTAATTTCTTTGTTTTCTGCACAGTAGAAGATCGGTGTTGGAGTGTTCGTCCTGGGAGAATATTTATTACAGTAACTCTTGCCAATACAGGATCTTGTTTTGTTATAACATTTTGACTATGAGAAGTAGTGATGGTATACGCTTCTATTAAAATGGTAACTTTTCTGTACATAGCCCAGTTATTTTAGGATTTAACATGACAAAGTAGGTCAGCAGTTGACTTGGATTTAGAATATTAATTGGTAGGTTACAACTACCCGATAACGGTGAATGGTTTGTGTGTGCTTCGGCTTGTCATCATTACACTTATTGTAATTTCCTCGTGAACTGCAACGTTATTCCTTGTTTTTGAGGCAAAGATCATAAACTGTAGGGTAAACATATAGTACAGGTGGTGAAAATTCCCACTGACATAAGGGGATAAAGCAGATAGTGGGGAAACGCTGAAGGGTAGGTACTGTATTTTATTTTGCAAGTTGACAACCAATGAACCTCTATGTTAGGTTATGTTACAATGTTAGGTTAGGTTAGTTTTGGTACTTTTTGGTTGTTGAGCAATGTGTTTTTCCATGGTTGTCCACTTATAAAAATTTACCAGGACCTACTGTACGTTAGATGGGATACCTATTGAATGAAATCCTCATACGTACTGTACAAGTTCATATTTTGATAAAAACCACCATTTATTAGTAGTATTTGTAGGAATGAATGGTGACAGGAGAAAATGGCCCAGGCCCAACCTTATGACCAAAACTGCCCGACTCTGTTAGGTTCAGTTACTTGCTTGTCTTCCTTGTCCCATGTTGCATTTTTTACCAGGGTCAGCTTGGAAGTCCATTGCCTTCACATCTGCTTTTAAAATTGCTCTATATCAACTGATCCATTGTGGAGTTGGATGTTGCTGCTCTTGACTTAGGCCTTTGTGGAATAGGAGATTCATCAAGGATGGTCTGCAGGAAGGTGTCATCCCACTTGCACGATTGTCTGTTTTATTTGATTTTTACTATCTTAGTTAAATGATCAGATTAGGTTATGTTACATTAATTTGCATAAAACAGACGAATGTTTAAGTGGGATGTAATCTGCAAGAATGCTTTCAGCTTTCTCTTAAAAGACTGTCTTAGTTTGTTAACTGTTCCATTAAACTTACTTTTTGTGACTGTTCATTGACTTGGCTCATCTGTTCAAATTCCACCCAATATGGTTTGTTGGTTATCTAGATAGGCATATTTTGTTATTACCTCATTTTATTAAAAACAAATTGCCCCCAGAGCATGAAGAGGCAGCCATGAGCGTTGACACTATGGAGGAAACAACGGCACTCCGCCAGAAACTGGTAAGTTATTCTACCTGATGTGCTGTACTGTACACCTACTGTATGGGCTCCACAAGTGTACGATACTTATATACCGGTATAACTTCATGGATGTATGTTATCTTGGAATTCAGAATGCTAATTCATTGGCATGATGTCTGAGATATTTTAATGTTGAATTAGTCTTTATATTACTGTATGTTTTGTGTGTGTTCAGTATTTTGAGTACTGTGCAGTATTTAATCCTTGGTGTGTCATTTGTATATTAGGTGGATGAGGCTGCCAAGTTTCTGCTGAACCCAAGTGTAATAAACCATGCCAGTGACCAGAAAACTGCATTTTTGCATAAGAAAGGGTTAACTGAGACAGAAATTGAGGCAGCATTCGCAAAGGCCAAAACAGTTGCCCCAATGGTATGTGACCTTGATTATATAAACTAAAAAGTGATCTAGAGGAAAATGTAATAAGTCCCACTTCATAAACAATATATCATTATAATATTTTTAAAAGGTGTGATTAACGATGTGTTGCTGGTGACATTAATTATTTACTTAAATAGAATAGAAGAAATAGATTTATTAATATCTTTTGTTATGTTATAGGGTGCAGCAGTGAGTAGCATGATGGTACCTCACCCTGGCTCATATTCTGGACCCCCTGCTTCTGCCTATATGTTACCCTCTCATCCTTCAGTGTGGATAAAGATTCGTGATATATGCAACTTTGTCCTCATCTTGACAGGTGCTTCATATGGTATATACCATATATATCAGGTGAGGTTTCTTCATCGTTATTACCCAGTACTGTACAGTACATATGTTGTTTGTAAGGCAGAAAAACACATGTACAGTGACCTAAATTATGTAGGAGAATGTCTGCATGTCTCTGTAGTTAACTCACAAACAGTACATAAAACAATCACTAATTATTAAGAACTTTTATCACTATGAGTTACTGTACATACATCCAGGAAAGGAATTGGAAAATAGCCAGTACAGTACCTTAATTACAGACCTTTCAATCTTACACGTATCACCTACAAGACTATTGAATCTATTCTAAGGAGTCATTTGAAGAACAGTTACCTGTTCATTGATAAACACTACTTTTTTTTGTGGCCAATCCATTAGACTCCAACTATTGAAAGTGGTGAACAACAATGAAACTAGCAAGTGACAGATGGGTCAGATAATTGTGTATGCCAATAAAGATGAAAGTAGCTTCTATATGAGACCATGAAAGACCTGGACAGATACCATAAGTCAAGAGGTGTCAGCTTAGATAATTATTTCTCAAAAAATGACCATGGATCATTAGTGGAGTTACCTCATATATGACTATGGTAATGAATGAATGTGACAACTCAATATGTACAGTGAATTATTATGAAGAACTGTGAATTACCTGTATTATGAATACCTTTTTCCTGTTACTTTTTACATTTGTCCAGGCTCCAGTGCTACTTTTGATTCTGGGCCCCATAATATTATCCCCCCATTTTACTTCTTGTGAAGATATTCCAGCAAATGATCCTAGTTTTAACACTTCAAAGGGTGTTTGAGTGGTACCTAATTTCTACAGTATTGCCTAGGCCTATAATGAATTGAAATGCCTGAGTTTAATACTTCTTTTCCTCGAGGCTATGAGTGAGGAAGTAGCTAACATGGCAAAGTATTCAAGCAAGTTACAAAAACAACAGCTGAATATAGGTACTGCATTGCACTGACTTCATGGGAGTATGTAGCAAAATTGAATTCAAACTAAAGAGTTCCATTTAGATTTCTTTCCCCTTTTTGTATTATTATCTTGATAATTTTTTTTTTACAGTAAAGGAGACTTTTAGGTAGTGTGTGTGTGATAAACACTTATTCTCACTCCTCAGGTCCTGGTGTTTTGGCACCTTATGTACCCACCTCTTCCCTTTTTTCTGAGGTTTGTGTAATCCTTGATCCACCCTTCACAAGCGGGAAAAAAGTATAGGGATTAGCTCACCCAGGTCACTGACCCGCATCAGGGCCTGAGGGGTTAAAAAAAAACCCCATAAATAAATAAATACAGAAATAGAAAAAAATAAAACAGATTAAGAATGAGAAACAATATACTGTATGTACCTTCTGTATACGTATTGTGTGTAAATGATGCAGAAAGTCAGTCATCAGCAGCCTGGGATTTGGTCACAATTTTTTTGATGACATATGGCAGCAGGGTCTACCATTAGACAATACATTATTCTTCCAATATCTTCCCAGGCGGTAGTACCTCCCTGTTTGATACCTACTTACTACACCTACTACAGTACTGTTTTTCAAAAAGAAAAGCAATTACAGTGATATTCCCGTTAGCCGGAACAATTGGTGCAGAGCACTTCTGGGAATGAGAGATTTCCGGGTAACGAGACGACTCTCAAAACCGGAAAAAAACCTCATCCCCGTAATTTTCTGTAATTTTCCGGGTTACAAAAAAATGCTTTCGGAAGTTCCAGAAATTGTCTATTACATCATCTCTCAAACCAGGAAAATATCCCTCAATCCTGGAATTTTCCGGGTAACGGAAAAATTTTCTCTGAATTTTCAGAAAATGCTCCCGATTTTCATCTCTCAAACCCGAAAAAACTCCCCCATCCCCGGAATTTTCCAGAATTTTCTGGGTATCGGGAAAAATTTATTGAAATTTTTCAGAAAATGTGCCCCTCGGAAAATCGTTTCCAAAGGCGGACTTTTCCGGAAAATTCTGGCTTTGGGAACAATTTTCCAAGACAATTTAAATTCCGGCTATCGGAGAGTTCCGGATTTGAGGGATTCTGGCTAACGGAGATATTACTGTTTACATATTCCATTTTGTTATTTTCCTTCCTTAATTTATTTATGATTTAATGAAAATACTAGTGGTCTATTTTTTTAATCAAGTAAAACATCAGCATGGAAGTCTGGTTGGAAGAGTTAACTGAAGAATTGTCCTCCAGAATTAAGTTACCGGTAGTAGAAGTGTTTGTTGTTTTCTCAAGCAGAGTGCAAGAATCACATTAAGAATTTGGATAACATAAAGATGTCAGAATTATACAGTACATTGATTTCTGTACTACATAAATTTGAAAAGTTAATGATAAGAATGTAAATGAAGAATCAGTTGATTTTCTCTTTTTTTTTTATTGTAAAATTAGACACACCAGCTTATTTTACCTGATGATTAAGCACCCTAAAGTTACCTTGGGGGTTAGGTAAGGTTAGCATTAAGGTGTTTAATCATCAGGTGAAATAATCTGGGGTGCCTAATCTTTATGTTTTTTGTTGTTTTTTATTTTCACCATTGAAGACGTATGTAGGTCCTTGTTACCCCTGTAATTAAAGCTTACATTGCCTGTGCAGAAATACATGGGTCCTTGGAGTGACATTGTCTATGCAAACATATTTAGGTCTTTATTTTGATGATCACATTGTTGTTGTAGAAGTACTTGGGTCCTTGGCTGACTGGACGACGTCAGAAGACAGTGGATGAGAGCATGACAGAGCTGCAACAGTCAGTCGTAACTGTCTTGAAGGAGATACAAACCACATTGGCCTCCCTGGATCATACCATAAGTGCACAGAATGTCCACATTCAGGTGAGTTTACTCATGTTAATTATGTAGGATGAATGTGAAAAAAAAAATATTCTGTTCATCTAGGACGAAATAGTGTGTGCAGTATGAATGACTCGAGACCATGAGATTAAATGGTACTGGGGGTGGATGTGCTGCTTATGGGAACACCATATCAAAATACACCTGCTAAACTGAATGGTGAGAAAGTGTGTTTACTCTATTTCAGCCACCCCACAATACATTAGGAAATGGCTTGAGAGAGAGAGAAAGAAGGGTATTGTTGAAAGTAAATGTTGGGACTTTTTGTTAATCTTGTACAGATCAATGCGAAATGGATTTGTTCCTTTCTTTTGAAAGAAATTCTAGGGTTTTTTGTGTGTGTTGTGAGATGGAAGGTTGAAACACGAAACTGATTTTACAGCAGAGGGAAGGGTTGAGGAATCTTTGAAAATTACCTTTAAAGACAAGGGTAATTGTGGCATAGCATTTTCTGTCATTGAACCTGGATTGAATCAGTGATTCAAATTCCTAGCCACATGATTACTTTGAAAGCAAGTGAAACACTATTTGTCAATTCACATACACCTCACACCCTTTGCAGTTATAAATAGGAATTCCTTGTTGACCTTTGAAGCAGGTACAGGTTACGAGGTTGAATCTTTCCTTTTACTTTTTTTTTCTGATTGAGTTTTATTGTAATAATTACAGTACTCCATAAGGGCATTGTAACCTATTGCTAAACACTAACCTCCTGGCAAGTGTGTTCTAGTTGGTGGAAAAGCATAGGTCACCTATTGATGACCTTTGGGTTATAAGCTTTGTTAGAATTATATTTTGTATAGAACTAGAGTAAGAAAATATTCTAGTACATTTTTTAATTTTGGAATAATGTGGCTGCTGTAGCTGGTCTTTGATCATTCCTGTTGTATTTTGTGTTATTGGATACAATGATTTGGGATCCATAATGTTGATTTAAGAGAGAACACATGCTTTGTAGAGTACAGTACTTCTCTTTATCCCTTTCCCTCTCATATTTCCTCCTGAACACTTGTTCAGTCCTTGCAAGTACTCCTCTCTTATGTGAAATGTTCACTTCACTCATGCATAAACCCTGAAAAGTGACTGACTATGATCAATTATAAAACTAACAAGTGATGAACATGAAGACAAGGGTTGTTGGTGGTTCAGTGGTAATGGACAGATCTCTAACTACTATGTCCTGCATTAAATCTCTGGCCCGGGACAGATGTGGGAAGGGTTTTATCCAGTGTGATACCTGCCAAACATCTTAAGGTTTGTCTGGGTACTATGGTTTCCTCCTCTACTGACAATGAAGGTAACAAAGAACAGACTGACCACCCAAATGGCTAGCAAACTGATAAGTTATGAAGTGATGAATAAAAGTAATTAGTAAAGTGAAACTCAAGAGTTTTTTTTTTTATTTCAGGCACTAAGTACCAGGGGAGATAACCAAGGATATGTCACACCCAAGCAGTTGGATCAGTTAAAGGGGGAAATAACCTCTTTGAAGGGGCTACTTATCAATCGGTGAGATAATTTTTATTTATTTTTTATTCATCAGACAGTGTGTGATTTTTCCTTTCTTATTAGGCTTTTTTTTTATTAGTGAGTTGACCCAACTAGTTATTGCATTCATCATTCAGTTGACATTTTTCCTATTTTATTCATGAACCAATGTGTTGACCTTTTTTTCTTTCTTTTTGTCATCAGTGTACAGTATAACTTGATATATATATACAGTTTTACCCCACCTAACGCGGTTTCACTTAACGCGTTTTCGCATATACGCGGTGCCTTGCCAAAGCTGAACTTTCACTTAACGCGGATTTTTTCCACATATACGCGGTGAGTGTCCGAGACGCTATTTTTAGATTTGCCCCACCCGCCACCCGGCCTGACTGCCTGTTTTAGCTCATAAAATTCATACAAATTACCAGGCCAGAATATAATTTACATTGCTGGAATTCTTATAATTTGGTGATCATTTTGAATATAAACATCATATATTTTGCTTTAAACTTACAATTTTTAGATAAAAATTTTTCTCTAGGTAACTATGGTATCTTTTGTGCAAAATATATGACATTTATATTCAAAATATTCCTGGTCTTACAAGGAATCCAGCAATGTCAATTATATTATCCTAACTTTAGTTTGAGGTATTATTTATTAAAATTTAGTGGTTATCCCACACATCTCCTTGGGACGGTTGGTGGGGGGTGGGGGGGAGGGAGGGACCAACCGACCATCTGTTACCCTGTGAAGAATTATTATTTTTTTTTATTAACTGAAGATATTTGTTTTAGCTCATAAAATTCATACAAATTACCCGGTCAGAATATAATTTACATTGCTGGAATTCTTATAATTTGGTGATCATTTTGAATATAAACATCATATATTTTGCTTTAAACTTACAATTTTTAGATAAAAATTTTTCTCTAGGTAACTATGGTATCTTTTGTGCAAAATATATGACATTTATATTCAAAATATTCCTGGTCTTACAAGGAATCCAGCAATGTCAATTATATTATCCTAACTTTAGTTTGAGGTATTATTTATTAAAATTTAGTGGTTATCCCACACATCTCCTTGGGACGGTTGGTGGGGGGTGGGGGGGAGGGAGGGACCAACCGACCATCTGTTACCCTGTGAAGAATTATTATTTTTTTTTATTAACTGAAGATATTTGTTTTAGCTCATAAAATTCATACAAATTACCCGGTCAGAATATAATTTACATTGCTGGAATTCTTATAATTTGGTGATCATTTTGAATATAAACATCATATATTTTGCTTTAAACTTACAATTTTTAGATAAAAATTTTTCTCTAGGTAACTATGGTATCTTTTGTGCAAAATATATGACATTTATATTCAAAATATTCCTGGTCTTACAAGGAATCCAGCAATGTCAATTATATTATCCTAACTTTAATCTGAGGTATTATTTAATACTAAATGTTAAAAACTCTGGAAGGGAGGATTGGTGGGGGGTGGGGGGGAGGGTTGGGACTGACCGCGCGGTTGGAAGAGGGGGGGAGGCAAGGTGGGGTACTTTGATTGACAGATAGTGTCGTGAAGATTATTATTTTTTTATTAACTGAAGATATTTGTTTTAGCTCATAAAATTCATACAAATTACCCGGTCAGAATATAATTTACATTGCTGGAATTCTTATAATTTGGTGATCATTTTGAATATAAACATCATATATTTTGCTTTAAACTTACAATTTTTAGATAAAAATTTTTCTCTAGGTAACTATGTTATCTTTTGTGCAAAATATATGACATTTATATTCAAAATATTCCTGGTCTTACAAGGAATCCAGCAATGTCAATTATATTTTCCTAACTTTAGTTTGAGGTTATCCCACACATCTCCTTGGGACGGTTGGTGGGGGGTGGGGGGGAGGGAGGGACCGACCGACCATCTGTTAGCCGGCTGTGTAGTGTGAGAGGGGGAGGGAGTTGAGTCCATTATTTGAATGGACATTAACTTGGCGACTGTATTTCTCTATTTCTCTTAAGTATTAATTGTGTGCATGTACCATCATAAAATTAAGATGTTATTTTTACTACAACATAGGTATGTGCCTTCAAAAAGTGGAGTTTGGGGGTCGGGCCGGTTTCTATTGGAATTAATCCCATATGTTCTGTTGTTCACTTAACGCGGATTTCACTTAACGCGGGACCCTCTGGGTTCAATTGACCGCGTTAAGTGGGGTACAACTGTATGTATGTATATATATATATATATATATATATATATATATATATATATATATATATATATATATATATATATATATATATATATATATATATATATATATATATATATATAGATAGATAGATAGATAGATAGATAGATAGATAGATAGATATATACTATATAGATAGATATATATATATACTATATAGATAGATAGATATATACTATATAGATAGATATATATATATACTATATAGATAGATATATATATACTATATAGATAGATATATATATATACTATATAGATAGATATATATATACTATATAGATAGATAGATATATATATATACTATATAGATATATATATATATAGATATATATATACTATATAGATATATATATATGATAGATATATATATATAGATATATATATATATACTATATAGATAGATAGATATATATATATATATATAGATAGATATATATATATATATATAGATAGATATATATATATATATATAGATAGCTAGATATATATATATACAGTTAACCCTCACTTTACGCGGTTAATGTAACCCGGAGGGTACCGCGTAAAGTGAGAAACGCGTAAAGTGAATAACATAACATATGGGATTAATTGAAATGGAGTCCGGGCCGATCCTCAAACTCCACTTTTTGACGACACACAACTATGTTGTAGTAAAAATTTTATCTTAACTTTATGATGGTATGAAAAAACAAGTAATATAGAAGAGGTTAGGTTAGGAAAAATAAAGGTTAACATAGGAAAAATAAAGGTTAGGTTAGAAAACTAAAAATTAGATGGAACACTTACGGTCGTAGAAGAGATGGGTCGGCATACGGGGATGGAGGCTGGTTCCGAGGCAGAGGGCAGATTACTGGCCCTCAGGTGAATCACCATTACTAGGTGAAGCACCATCACTGTCACTTACAGTTGTCAGGGCTTCCCTGACAAATCCTTCAGTCATCTTCACTGTCACTATCACTGGCTTGGGCTGGCTGTGGTGGGTTGCAGGCGAAGAACTCGGTTATGCTTTTTTGACGGCTGGTGTTTATGTTGTCTTGATACACCGTGATGTACGGCTCCATAGCCTGCACCAGCCGGGTATTGAAGACTTCATAGCGGTCATCGTCATTGTCGCGGGAAAGGAAGGACTTCATTTTCTCTGCACACTTCATGGCACACTTAATATCATTATGAGTTAAACTGTGTTCTTCGGAGAATGATGCACCTTCTTCCTCCTCTTCACTGACTTGATCTTCTTCCAACATCTCGTCGGCAGTCACTTCAGGATCTCTGATCACCTCCAGGATGCCGTCGTTGGTGGTCTCGGAGAAGCCTGGAACTGTAACAGTCTGCGCAGCTTCTCTGGCAAGGTCCACTGCTACTGCAACATTCTGAACCTCACCAGTCACAGATTGACTCCTCCTCTCACCTGGTATTCCATGCAACACATGTCTCCATGCATGACGAATTGTAGCAATAGACAGCTGATCCCATGACTCCACCAAGAAGTCCACAGCTTTCTTGATGTTAAATATTCTCCAGAATTGTTTGAACAGTATTTTTTGCTGTGCCAACTGTTGATCCTCATCTTCTTCGCTCTTGCTATCGGTGGTTGTGTCACTCAGGTTACGCAACTCTTCCCTGGTGTTGGTGTAGTCGTTCAGGAGTTTGAATTTTTTTGTTGAGAATGCAGCTTTTACATTACAGATTAACTCTTGGTCCATGGGCTGTAATATAGATAATATAGACGTAGTGTTGGGAGGAAGGAAGACCACTTTTACGTTGGGGTGACGATCTAACAGTAGGGGCGAGTGTCCTGGTGCGTTGTCCAGCAGCAACAAAATATTGAATGGCACATTCTGTCGCTCACAGAATTTCTTTACATCGGGAACAAAACAGTCATCAAACCAGGAGAGGGACAGTGTAGAGAACATCCACGCCTTACGTGCGGTCAGCCAGTGGACATTTAGCTTGGTCATGTCCATGGTTTTGTAGGCGTGCGGCTTGCGTGCTGTGTGGATCACCGATAACTTGAGCTTACAGGTACCGGAGGCATTGGTGGTAAACAGGACGGTGATGCGTTCCTTCTGCATTTTCCGGCCCCGAATCCTGCTGGCATTCTTTACAACGAAGGACTTGGAAGGTAGCTTTTTCCAGAAAAGACCAGATTCGTCCATGTTAAACACCTGGTCGTCACTGTACTGTCCTTCCTCCATAATCTCATGTAAAAACGGAGGAAATTCCCGAGCCGCAGCACGATCAGCACTCGCTTCTTCACCACCAATGTTTATATTGGTGATCTTGTTCCGGATCTTAAACCTCTGTAACCACCCAGAGGAAGCATTAAAGGGTTTGGGCTCTGTAGTTCCCATCTTTCGTGCCACTGCCATGTACAGTTCACGTGCGTAGTCCTTAACAGAGCGCGTGTCGACCGCCATGTTCCGTCGCGCCTGACGCACCAAGTACCTCACAAGTAATTTTTCTGTCTTGAGAAGCACCTGGTTGTGAAAATACTTGATCATAGAAGCACCTGTAGACTTTGTGATCTTCATGTGCTCCTTTATCTTGGCTGCATCCTTCTTTATAGTCCGGATCGTAGATTCGTTCACACCATGCTGGCGCGCCAAATCAACCTGCCTTGTTCCTTTCTCCAACTCTTGGATGATGGTATACTTCACCTCGTAGCTTAAGGAACGTCGTGTCTTCTTTGGCTTAGTGCCGCTGGGTCCAGGTAAGGAAAGGTTTCTCTCTGGGGGTGGTGGTGGTCGGCGGAAGCCATTTTACGGAACAATGGATGCACGTTTACACGGTGTGGCCTTGAGGGATGAAACTGCCGCGGCTAGGTCAAGCGTCGTCTTTCCTCCCTCCCTCCCTCCCCCGGGTGGACACGTCATAATACTTTAAGCCAATTACAGCTAGCAGCAGAGGGGGGTAGGGATGCATGGCCAATCACAGTCCGATACGTCATATGACGTCAGTGATAACGCAACAAAGACACACACTGCGCAACCTTACCGCGTGGCTTGCCCAAGCGGAGGGAGGAGGAGGGAGAGGCGAGGAGCACAGGCAGGCAGGCGGGCGGGTGGGGCGAATCTAAAAATAGCGTCGCGCCGGACACTCTCCGTGTAATGGGGTTCACGTACCGCGTAATGTGAGCACGTTAGGCTCTGGCAAGGCACCGCGTAAACGTGGAAACGCGGAATGCGGGACCGCGTAAAGTGAGGGTTAACTGTATATATATATATATATTCTACTGCATTTCACTTTTACTTGTCAATCTAATGAGTTGACCCTTTCAGTTTTACCTATCAGTCAGTGAGTTGATTTGTTTACTTTTCAGTTTTGCTCATTAGCCAGCAAGTTGAGCCATCCATTTCTTTAACTTTTATCAAGACTCTTTAATGTTTTAAAAGAATATAACATATAGCTGATAAACTGTACATACTGTTAATGGAGAAAAATATTTTTTGTGAGCTGTGCATAGAATGTGTATAGAACACTTATTTTTTTCCAATCGTAGGCGGACATTTCCATCCACCCCAAGCATGGCACCATCCATCCCCTCCTGGCAGCGGAGTAAGGCAGTGGAGAAACCTCTGGAAACTACTACTGTCACATCTGTCACTTTGTCGAACCAGGTGATCTTTATTTAGGTTTCACATTTAGCTCTTTTATGTCATGTGGCATTAACTGGCTCTCTCAATGAGTGAGAACATTTTTATTTCACTTACTTGTTAACAGTGAAAAAATTTTTTGTATGTTATCTTTATTATTTTGTTATTTTCATTTTTGTATTTTTATTATAAATTTTACTTACCGGTATCTGAATCATCATCATCATCATCAATCATCATCATCATCATCATCATCATCATTATTATTATTATTATTATTACCTTACATTTTCACCTCCCAGGCCTTGATGTGGGTCAGTGACCTGTGCCCGGGTGGGCTAATCCAAAAAAAAAAAAATCCTGAGTATACATGTAAGGCAGACCCGGATAGAGAAGGTTAGGTTAAGTTCTACAGACTTTCATTCTCAAACAAATCTTTCTTTTTTCAAAATTAATTTTGGGTTAACACTAGAAATGCAGGGGGGTAACTTGGGGATAGTGGACAACAGTATTCACCTGGGGATTGGCCTGTCAGCTTATCCTACCTGAAGTTTAACCACGCCAACAGAAAAGAATGCACAATGAGGTTATTAAAGTAGTATGGTAACAAAAATGCAAAAGAATGAACCTCCACTCCTCAGTGTGAATGATGAACCCTAGCTGAACCACTGCATAGCTGGTTTGGTGCTTTTATTGGAAAATACTGAGGATCCATTTAGGAGTGTGTGGTGTTACCTGGGGAGCAAATCTTCGGATGATAGTGGACCTCTGTAGTCACCTGAAGATAGGATCTCCCTCAGCATACCCTTCATGATGTATAACCACCCCATCACTACCTGGAGGGCTAATCTTAGATTATTCATAAATGCTAAAATTGTGAATGGTTGCAGTCTTGACTTCTAAAGGTTTGAGAAGTTAGGTCACAGTCTTGGTCTCACTGTTCTGCACTCATCATCACCATTTTACACCCATTTTCTATGTCTGCATGGGTTAGTCGTAAAGTAAATTTGAAACAAGTTTTACTGCTGGATACCCTTCCTATCTCCAACCCACTTATGCAGATTGGGAACTGGCCATTTTATGTAGGATAATCAAGTGCCCTCTTAGCTGGCTAGGCAGAATGGCTACTCCTTGAGGTAATCAATGATTACCCACCTACCCTAAAATAAATACTTTATACTGTCTGCCATCATCTTATGTTCCTTATTTTTCTGTGACTATTGGAACTCTTCGTTCTTAATTGAAATTATGGTCTGACTGACAACTCTCAACAGCAATCCTCTATGATACCATGAAGTTTTGTCCATTTCTCACCTCTATATGAACTTAGTTGCTCTATTCATTTCTAAAAATAGACACCTTTCATATGCAAGTTGCTAAAATTGGTATTGTCATTCTCTTTTAATGTATGAGCTGACTGACCTGCACAGGGCACATTGTCAATTATTTTTCTGCCAGTATCATTCCTATAATATCCATTTCACCTCGCTACTTCTGGGGGGCCTGTATGTCATATTCATATTGCTCATTCTTTCCTTCTTTCCATAAAATATATTATCTTTTAATCCCAGGTTGAAGTGATAGAGACAGAAGAAACATCTTTGCAATCTACAAAACTTCAAGAAGACTTAAGTGAGATGGACATTGGTAAGTGTTTTGATTTTCTCTTGACCTATATTAAAGTTTATGTTAACTTTCATTAACAAAACCAGAGATGTACAGTTGGCTCCACTCCTGTGTTTACCACTTAACATTGCCAATCCTCTCTCTCCCTAAGGTCTGAACCCTGAAGTATGAATTCGAAGCATTCTGCTAGTGAGCAGGAGGGAGAGTGGAGGGATGTGTTGGGGTAGGGGTACTAGTACAGTACAAGGGTGAGGATGGAAAATGTATCAGTTGGGAGGGATTACAGTGCAGGATAATGCTGTGACAATACAGTAAAGCCTTGAATAATGACAGTAATGTGTCCTCCAATATTGCAGTGTAAGGTGAATCATTAATTACGATTAAAATAAGTAATAATAATAAGATGTGTTCCAAAGTCTAACCTCATATCTTTTGTGTAGCTTTTTACCCTCTTTAACCTCCAAAGCAGTAAAATGAATGAAAAATGCAAACTATATCTTTAAATAATGTTTATGAAAGCCCCTTATACAATATAAATGAATAATAATATGGTCACACAAGAGGAGATGGGTCGCCATTGTTTTCATAAGAAACTCAAGAAAATAAGACCATGGTTGTAGCTGTAGTAAAATTAATGTAAAAAAAATATTATATGTTTTAAGTAATGTTATTTAATGTTAATAAATGGAACAATATAAGTAGCTAACCACTAATGGTAAAGAAAAAAGCGAGATAGATTGGGAACGCCAACGTATACGTGCTCATTCAAGGAAACATAGCGTCATTTATCTTATTAAGAATATGTACAAAAGATTCATTATTGTTTATCACTGAATATATATTTGATGGAATTAATCTTTATACTACAGTATAAGCAAAATGAACAATACAATTCATTAATACTACGTAGATCATTAAAACACACAAGAGGAGACGAGATGGCATTGTCTTCGTTTGTTTACAACCGTGACAATGGTTCTACATTAGAAACTGATGAAAATAAGACCCTGGGAGTCGAATCACTGCAGACACTTTACAGAGTAGAATAATGTTGTCCTCTCATTTCAATGAGGAAATTGTGATGAGAATACAAAGACATATGATACTCAGTATTTCAAGCAAGAATCATAATTGTATGAAGTAAAATCATATTTGTCTGATAATTCCATTATCTGGTTACTATATGGCATAGGCAGACTTATATCAGAATGGTATTCGGACGTTTGGGTCACGGATGTTATGGCAACGTGCTGTATGTAGAGTGGACAATTTGGGCCATGGACCAAAAATATCTCGATTGTAAATTATAATCCCCTTAATACCCCTGAGAACCTTCCAGCCTGGAACCTTTAGGTTAGGTTAGATTATTATATTGTTATTTATATCACTTTGACCTATTACCCAAACATCTGGGGATCATGGTCCATGGCTCAAATGTCTGGGGGCTGTGGCCCTTGGCTCAAACATCCGGGGGCCATGGGCCATGGCTCAAACCTCCGGGGGCCATGGCCCATGGCTCAAATGTCCAGGGGTTGTGTCCCATGGGTCAAACGTACATTCCGCCAGAATATAGAGATAGTCGAGGAGTAGTATAAGGTGCAACAATTAAAACACTCAGAATGTGTGGGAAATGATATTTATTCTAACACATAATAATGCTTGAAATACTGCGTATTGTTTTCTGGATGGAATACCCCCTCGTGTTCCGAGGGAGTGTGCAGAAGTTCTGGCCCCTGTGCTTGCTCGCCTCTTTCGCCTTTGCCTCAAAACCCAATCTTTTCCTTCTTCTTGTAAGTATGCCTTGGTTCAGCCCATCCCAAAGAAGGGTGACCATTCTAATCCCTCTAACTATCGCCCCGTTGCCCTAACTTCATCCCTCTCTAAGATTTTCAAAACTATCTGGAACTCTCATTTTCTCCATCACCTTGAAAGCCTTTCTCTTTTGTCGGATCACCAGTATGGCTTTCGTCAGGCGAGATCTACTGGTGATCTGCTCTCCTACTACACCCATCTTTGGTCATCCTCTCTTAGGGATTATGGGGGAAACTTTCGTCGAGGCCCTCAACATCTCCAAAGCATTGACAGGGTATGGCACAAGTCTGCTTTCTAAACTTCCCTCTTATGATTTCTCTCCCCCACTTTCTCTAATCTCTAGCTTCCTTGAGAACTGATCCATGGCAGTTGTTGTCGAGGATCGATCTCTCGGTCTTTCTCTACCAATAGTGGTGTCCCACAGGGTTCTGGTCTTTCACCTTCTCTCTTCCTTCTTTTTATCAATGATTTACTTCACACTACAAATAATTCTATCCATTCTTATGCTGATGATTCTACTCTTCACTCTTCTTCACATTTTCCCCTTCCCCCTAACTCTCGAATTAAATCTATTTCTAGAGCCGATATCATTACATCTATCAATGCGGATCTGTGCAGCATCTCCGAATGGGGAGGTAGAAACTTGGTTATATTCATTAATAATAAAACTCGGTATTTACCAATTACACTTTCAAATTAAATAATCTCCCACCAATCACATTTCAGGACACAATCATCTGCCAAATTCTAAAATAGATAAGCTAAGCCTCACCATTTCCTCTAATATGTCATGGAAGCCACACATCCTCAACGTTCTTAAAGCTGCCTCCCGAAAGCTGGGAATGCTGTACAGATGCCTTAGCTACTTCACTCCTGAGCAGTTGCTTCAAGTATATAAGGGATTCATTCGTCCTAACGTGGAGTACTGCTCTCATATCTGGGGTGGCTCTTCTTCTGTCCAACTGTTAGATAGGGTGGAATCAAAGGCATTTTGTCTTATTAACTCTTCCCCTTTAGTTGACAATCTTTCTTCCCTTTCTCTTCACCACAATGTTGCTTCACTCTCTCTTTTACAGGTACTTTAACTGGCAATATTCGGTGGATTTGGCATCCTGTGTACCGCCGGCGAGGCCGTGGGCTCGTAACACGTCTTGCCCGCGGTGCCCACCATTTGTCTGTGGATATCGGTCACACTAGAATAACCCATTATAGTGCATCCTTCTTTCCTCACACAGCCAAACTGTGGAATGCTCTGCCTTCTTCTGTGTTTCCATACTCATACAATGTCTCAGTTTAAAAAGCTGGTTTTCTGGCATCTTCTTGGTGTAGATTAATATAACCTTTTCCTTTTCTATTTTTAATTTCTTTCTATTCTTATTTTTTCGCCCCCCTAGGCCCCATTGTGGGTCGATGACCTGTGCCCGGGTGGGCTATTCCCCATAAAAAAAAAAAATACTAATTGCCTCATGGGAATGTTAGGGTACAACATCATTCTACTCTGTATATTGTCTGCAATGATTTGACTACCAGAGTACAAGTTGGGTGGTACAGGCTGGGGGAATCGAGGGTCCCACTAGCAACTCTGTCCATAAAACTATTATTTAACACCTTTAAGAGACAATAATATCACTTTACATCATACAGTGCACATTTAATAATAATAAAAATAATAATAATAATATTTTTTTTTTTACCATTTAATCTTACAAGGTTTGACACAATAGAATGACAGTATGTGGTTTGCTGATTCTATACTAGACTGCTGCCATCTGAAAATTTTTTCCTAACATCAAGTTTGTGTTACAGTAAATATGTGGTGCCCAATTCCTGATTGTTTTGATTGCCAATTAATTCCTTCACTATGATGTCTTCTTATCTATTTTATTCTGACTACCGCTAGACAATTTTATAAAGTTGGGGAAGTTCCATATCGTAGTCAAGAGGTTAAACAAAACTTTGTTGCTTCTACAAGATAAAGATTCAAATATATCCATAATCCATTTGCTTATACAGGGGGGGCCCCAAATTCGTGGGGGTTAGGTTCTTAAAATGGCCGTGAATCGCCAAATCCACGAATAACATTTGTGGGGGGAGGGGGGGGGGTTACATTTTAATTTGTGTACAAAGAAATGTATATTCCCTTTATGTGTTTGCCCTTCGGACAATTGTTTATTTTACCTGTAGTGTGTGTGTGTGTGTTTGTGTAGACACAAACACCACACAAAACACATACAAATTTATAATAATTGGAAAATCCTCTCACAAATATTCATCAACGAATTTATTAAAAATGTGACAGTCTATCTTCAAGTCCGTGCTCTATTAATAAAGTAATGGAGCACGGACTTGAGGGAAGGCTCACATTTTTAATAAATTTGTTTCTGATTATTTGTGAGAGGATTTTCCAATTATTATTTATTTGCATGTGTTTTGTGTGTGTGTAAACACATATATACAATACAGGTAACGGGAATTACTGTCTCTAGAACGAATGGCTCCCTGTCCCAGTCGCGAAAATGCCAGCAACTTTAAAACCTTTAAAACTACCCACAGACATTCTTTGGTAAATCCAGGGTGTCATCCACGAATAACAGAGAACCGCGAAGTAAAAACCCGCAAACTTGGGGGCACACTGTAATTGCCCTCTTTTACATATGAATACACTCATCCTATTGTAACTTAATTATTTTCATCTGGTTAGTACAAGACAATTACTCTCAGCTGAGGAAACCCCGTCGGGATTGAAAACTCAGTGGTAAACACAGGAGTGGAGCCAACTATACAGATATGAATTTTTATTAAATGTTCCTCATTAAGGCCTCAGATCTATGTTCAGATGAGTTGAAGAAATATTATACTTGTATTCTTTTCTAACCACTACTACCCTAAGCCAAGTGACTCTTGTAATACTGTACAGGACAACTTATTAGAGGGTTCTTCCTTAGACAAGTCCCTCAATATGAACTTTTTCTTTGTACTGTACAGTACTTGTATTGGTAATTTTAAGTGATTTTTTTTAAGTGCCTTTTAAGTAAGTTATGAAGCCATGAGATATTGTACGTGAGACAGAGGAAGATTGAAGGTTAAAGGGGGGGGGGGATACAGAGAATGTTTTGCATGTACGACTATGTACTGTACAACTGGACAGTACCTGGACTGTAGATGGAAGAATCTACAGATGACATGCAAGACTGGGTTGTGTTGAAGATTTATAAGAATCTAATTTTATATGTAATAGGAGAAGGCCTCTAGGAGACCTGGAATAATAATAAAAACATTTACTGTATATAATGGAATGTTAATAAAAACATATATAGCTGATATAAAATTGAAGGATAACCATTAATTAGTAAAATTTGCCTCTTCACTGCAGAAGCTGTGATTATTACATCAGAAGCTGCTTATGCAGACAAAGAAGTACTGAAAGGAGAAATTGTGGCTGTTGATCCAGAAGAAAATGGACATGATAAAGATGAACTTAGTGTAGGTGACAGCGGTTCCTTTCCTGACTCATCTGATGAAATGTCACAGTGAACCACACTGTCCACAAGGCGAACCGGACACTTAGTAGTTTAGGTTAAAGCTGAAAAATTTTTATGCCATGTTATAAATTTATTAGAGGTGATAGTAATAGGAGTTAAGGCTGAAGAATGTTTGATGCCATATTTTGTTTATGTTACACTATTTTATACAGTATTAATGCTATAGTTCTGTTATAATATTAATTACTGTATGTGATTTTAAACAGTGTTCCAAAAATGTTATCATAAAATATGTGATGCTTCATATTCCACTAGAGATACATAATTTTTCTAATAAGTTCCTCGGGTTTGTACTGAACATTTGGGGCAATGTTCTATTTTGTATTAACATTCGGGATCATTCACACCTATGTGGCGTTTTGAATTAATGTAAATTAAACTTTTGCCTGACGATCAGACACGCCACTGTGGCTAATAGCTAATTTTCTCTAAAAGTTCCTGGTCAAATTACTTCAAATTTTAACACCACATTCCTGCATGGAACCAAATTTTACGGCTAATTGGCAACCCGTCTACATGGGGTAGATCTTGCGGCCTCCAGACAAAGACAACAGTTATATGTCTGGCTCAGTAAGCGAGAGGTGTGTGTGTCCCAAGCATGATTTAAAAATGGCTACCATGGCGTTTGCACCACTATCTCCAAATATTTATTACTTACAACCTCGACATTTATTCTTATGAAGTGATAAAGTGAAGTGTAAAGAAATATTTATAATGAAATACAGTATTGAAATATTTTTTAATTTGTGAGACGTTGGTGCTCTGGCCACGTGGCCAAGTGTTATCTCCAAATATTTATCAGTTACAACCTCGATATTTATTCTTATGAAGTCATAAAATGATGTGTATTGAAATATTTAAAATGAAATAGTGAAATATTTTTGGAATTGGGACATTGGTGAAACGGCTACTCATAATACAGTACAGTAGAACAAAAGCATGTCATAATATATAGGCCTAGCTTGGAAAAATAATAAGTGATGGTGAAATGTAATGCAGTAAAGGCATGCATATGGTGAATTATAATGAGTATATTGTGCTTATTTGAAGTGTATTCGTAAGGCCATCGCCATTATCGTGCATATGCCAAGGCCTACTTCGTCCGAGTGGTAAGTGGAAATATTGCCAAAATTTCAATTTTTGTAAAACAAAATTTTACTGGTCTATTTCTCTTCCTTAGTACCGGGTATGTGTACAGTAATAATCCTTCATCAAAAAATACTTTAAAATTATTTTGAAAAAAAAAAAAAAAAATAGCAAGAAAAAAATATGGGCATAAATATTTCGGTGACTGCGCGCCTAACCACCACTTTTTACATTTTATTCTTTAACTCCGTTATTTTTTATATTATATTTTTTCTGATTATACCATCGTCTTCCTCATGATTTATTCTTTCTTGTCATCTGCATTTTATACTGACTGATGCAATGATGTGGGTACAGCAAGAAGAGGAATCAACAGTAAACTCTTAACTTTTCACTTATACTCGCCAGTTTTTTTTAATATATATATATATATATATATATATATATATATATATATATATATATATATATATATATATATATATATATATATATATATATATATATATATATATATATATATATATATATATATACATACAGTAGTACCCCGATTTACGCGGTCAATTGAACCCACAGGGTACCGCATTAAGTGAAATCCTCGTAAATGGAACAACAGAACATATGGGATTAATTCCAATAGAGACTGGCCTGACCCCCAAACTCCACTTTTTGACGACACACAACTATATTGTAGTAAAAATTTTATCTTAACTTTATGATGGTATGCACAAACAAGTAATATAGAAGAGGTTAGGTTCGGAAAAATAAAGGTTAAGTTAGGAAAAATAAAGGTTAGGTTAGGAAAACTAAAAGTTAGGTGTAACACTTACGTTAGTAGAAGAGATGGGTCGGCATACGGGGATGGAGGCTGGTTCCGAGGCAGAGGGCAGATTACTGGCCCTCAGGTGAATCACCATTACTAGGTGCATCACCATCACTATCAGTTACAGTTGTCAGGGCTTCCCTGACAAATCCCTCAAAGTCACCTTCACTGTCACTATCACAGAACAATGGATGCACGTATACACAGTGTGGCCTGGAGGGATGAAACTGCCGCGGCTAGGTCAAGCGTCGTCTTTCCTCCCTCCCTCCCCCCCCGGGTGGACACGTCATATTACTTTAAACCAATTACAGCTAGCAGCAGAGGGGGGTAGGGATGCATGGCCAATCACAGTCCGATACGTCATATGACGTCAGCGATAACGCAACAGACATGCACTGCGCAACCTTACCGCGGGAGCAGGCGGGTGGGGTGAATCTAAAAATAGCGTCGAGCTGGACACTCTGCGCGTATATGGGTAGATGAACCACGTAAAGTGAAAGTTCGGTTCTGGCGAGGCACCGCGTATTTGAGAAATCGCGTAAAGTGAAACCGCGTAAAGCGAGGTAAAATATATATATATATATATATATATATATATATATATATATATATCGTAGCCACGAATAGCGCTTGGAAAAAAATATCTTCTCGATTTCTGGTCATTTTACGCTCTTATAAGTGGTCCTGACACAGCTCGTGAAATAAATTTCGGCGTATCCCGTGTGTTTATGAATTAGTTTGTTTCTCTGTAAACATCAGCCTGTTCTGTAGTATTGTATGCTGGTACCAGTCTTTTGACATCTTGTCACATTTAGGTGTTAAAAAATCAAATCCATGGCTACAAAGTTTTGTATACATGTTCACTTATTTGTCACAAATGGAGTAGTTTTCATTCTTAATGATAGATAATAACCACTTGAAAAATATTAGTCACATTAATAGATACATAGCTACAGGAATTTGATATCATATTTATAAACAGAATATGAATCACCACAAAGAGTACGTAACATCCTCAAATTTACGGGTAGAATGAAAATTACTGGTAGTAACAATTAATTTTCCCGTTTATAAAGGTTAGAGGAATTTTCATCATCGTATGTGGGTATTAATACAAGAATAGTTTTCTTAATTTATTACATTTGCCTTTGTGTGCTTAACACAAAATACCAGTACAGAATATGTATAATAATCAATAGATTTATCACACTAATACTGTATATAACTCTTTGATATGATATAGGAACTTAATCTGGTACTTTTAGATATTTCAGTAAGCAGAAAACTAATTACATTGTGTCAGGCTCTCCGTGAGGCTCCAAAACAAACAAAGGCTTTTTTTTTTCTATACAATACATGCCTGATGGCAACTGTGTTAACAGTCTTGCCTATCCCCTGGCCTCCTGCATTTTATGGGCTGGTGCCCCGGGGTTTGTGGCGGTGAGTGTGGGGATACCAATTTGGACTTGCCCAAAATCACCCATCAAGTAATTATGGCTAAACCACAAGAGTGTGGAAAATGGCCTTAAAACATTGAAGAGGATAGCAGGTTAGGTGTGTTACAGGAAACGGCCATGCAGCACTGGCTAACATGTGGGGATGACAGGCTCCAGTGCCACAGAAAATGGCTCACTGTATAGACTCAGAATTGGAGACTTGGGGAAAATTCATGGACTGAGTTAGTCATTATAATATGGTTTCTTTGTATAAATACAGTATAACATAATATGGATGTAACATAATGTTGACTGGACTCAATTAATGTGCTATATTCAGGGATTCCTGTCTTGTAATAACATACATAGTTTGTGATAGGCTGCTCTATCAAGAAATTATAACATCTGTAAATGAATTACCCTGTCTTCTTTCACATCTTGCTTGAGTTCGAAACTAAAGAATCATTTTACACGAGCTGTTGTTCGCATGTTTCGTAACTAAAGATTCATTTTACACGAGCTGTTGTTCGCATGTTTCGTAACTAAAGATTCATTTTACACAAGCTGTTGTTCGCATGTTTCGAAAATAAAGATTCATTTTACACGAGCTGTTGTTTTAGAGGCCGGCAAGGCAGGCCATGACACTTAGCCGGGACCTTCGCCGTTACAAGCAAATAGTTAGTATGAAACTAGGATGTGTTCAATCCTTCAGCTTTTTATATGTGGAGTGACGGAGCTGCTGCAGTGTGGTAACCTGTGTGGCCTGCCGCTAACGACCTAGCTAGTTGGTACAGTGTGTTACCTCACTAGGATTTGTGTGTGCCACTAGCCCACTACAGCAACTTTTTAACATAGTGCTCACACCCTTGATGATGGATGTGGCCTCCAGTGTAATCATGTGTACATGAAGTCCAGTTGGCCAGTCGCCAAGTGACGTCAGGCCCCACCTTTACCAACCATGATTCATATTTTGTACGTTCTCCTTAATATGCTTCCACTCTTTTTAATTTATTATTGTTAATACATTATTGTTTTTATACTTATTTTTCCTTTGGTACAATCATTCATAGTTGAGAGATAAATGCAGAGTTAATCATAATTCGTGCGAAAATCTAACAACCTTTAACAAATACCTTGACAACATCTGTAAATCACAGCACTGAACATAAAATGTAGTTTTTTTTTTTTTTACGGGCATTAGCCCACCCGGGCACAGGTAATAACCCACATCAGGGCCTGGGGGGGGGCAAAAATATACGGTAATCATAAATAATAATTATAATAATAATAATAATATCTATTATTATTATTATTATTATTATTATTATTATTATTATTATTATTATAACAATAAAATTAATAGCAATTTAATACAAAAAAAATAACCATAAATAAATACAAAATTTAAAAAATAAATCAAGAGTGAGAAATTATATATGTTGTGTTGTCCAAGTAAGAGAAACAATTGAGACCCTGCAATTGTGTGTAAATGAGGCAGAAAGTCAGATCAGCAACCTGGGACTTGGTCACAATTATTGTGATGCCATATGGCAGCAGAGTCTACCATTAAATAACACATTAAGCTTCAAATATCTTCCCAGGCAGTATAGTACCTCCCTGTTTGGTAGCTGCCTATCTACCTACTACCTGAACTGTATAAATATTTAATCTTTGACCATTTAGTTGCTCATTGCAATACAGTGTACTGTACATGAATTTTTAAGTGTAAATATTTAGTTACATTAATTTCACTATTGTAAAGCTCAATGTATTGTATATAATGAGTCATTAGTGTTCCTTATATCATGCAAGTTTAGACTTATTATATTTCCTATTTTTTATAACCCAGTCCCAGCAAGTTTGAATGTTCTTCCCCACCTGAGAAATAAGATATTTTTTTTTATATATAAACTAAGATACACTTCATTATGGCTTGTCTTTTTTTATTTCATTCCCTAACCAGGTTTATCCATAACCTCAGCCTCTCATGCTGTCAACAGACATGCAAAATGTGGGCTTCTTAGTCTTACAATATTGTTCAGCGACACTCTTTAATAAAACTTACGACTAGCCATGAATGAAAAGGGGAATTTATTGTTTATATACAGCAATTGTTTAAGATTATTTATAGAATAACTCGATAATTCTTTGCTATAAGTCAGTGCGTATTCTGTTTAAAGAGAGCTTTGAAGCAAAACAGAACTGACACATAAGGTGAACCAGAAATATTATACAGTGGTCCCTCGGTTAACGAGCACAATTCGTTCCAGAAGGTTACTCGTTAGCAGAAAAATTCGTTAACCGAAACCATTGTTTCAATGGGTTTTTGGGTAATTGGTTCCAGCTCACCGAAAATTACATACAAACTAAAAATAAATACAGTAAAGTACACCTACTTTGAGGTGTGCATGTAGAAGGCTCCTGGTTGATGATGATGATGATGGGAATTAGAATGGGGGTGGAGGAGAAGGGAGAAGAGAAGGCATTGGGGTGGAAGAGAAGTCACCCCGTGCCGCCATTTCACCCATAAAATTTTAGTTCACTAGGTGTAATTCAAGATTATTTTCTTTAAATCAACACTGCACTGCACTATATATTATCAATATGTAAAATATATTTCAAAATGACCAATAATTTGACTGGAAACACAGAAAAAAGAGTTTATTTTGAAGAGTCTCAAACAAGATGTTCCTTCCTCTGAACCTGTAAACAAACTGACGCCAAGCTTGGTGTGTTGAGTGGCTGTTTGGAGCGCATAAAACTAGTTTCCTGTACTTCAATTTTGTTCAATAATTGTTAAAATGACTAAAAAATTTAATATAAAACTTTTAAAATGATTGAATATTACAACCTTGATATTCACTAAAATGGTAAGGAATTTAAGCCCTAGAACCGATTACTGTATTGTTGGACTAATACGACAACTAGTAAGCAAGCAAAAACATGTTGAGGGGCGCTCGTAAGGAATTCGTTAATTGAGGGATTGCTCGTCAACCGAAGTGAAGAATCATATAGAAGGTAATTCGTTAACCAAAATTTCGTAAACCGAGGTGCTCGTTAACCGAGGGATCACTGTATACTGTTATTCTTTTTTATCCAATGGATGGTACAGTATCTTATTTTACTGTTTCAAGCATATGCTGTACTGTCAAACATGAAGCACAAGCTTGGTATGGGTGATGTTCCATACCCTATGCAATGACTAAATTGTCAGTTTTTGTAATTGTTCTAGATTTGCCAGACG